AGTTAGAAGGGTCATGAGCTACAGAGCTGAGGTGCTCGTGGGCTGCAGTGCTGGGGTGATCAAGAGATGCTGAGCTGTGGTGGTCACAGGATGGATCGCTGGAGTGATCATGGGCAGTGGGACTGGAATGATCACGGGCTGCAGAGCTGGGATGGTCGCGTACTGCAGAGTTGGACTGATCATGGGTAGTAGAGCTGGGGGAATCATGGGATACTAGTAATGGCGGCAATCAGCAACTTATAGCGGGACTGCCGCAAGCAGTCTGACACTGGGGGGGCAGGACTGAGTAACTGCCACTGACATCCCCAGTGACACTAATACAGTGATCAGTGCTAAAAAAAAGCACTGACACTGTACTAATGACACTGGGCAGCAAAGGGTTAACATGAGGGGCAATCAAAGGATTAATTGTGTGTTGGGAGTGTTTTACTGGGGGGCAGCGTGTTGGTGCTTCACTGTAAGGACACTGCTCTGGATGGCTGTGCTGTGCACAGCCATCTAGAGCCGTGTGCCCGAGCTGACAGAGAGGAGGACTGTTAGTAAACAAAGCAGTCCTCCTCCCCATTGGAGATGCTAGGTAATCACCGGGCGCCGACAGGGAATCACCGGCCGGAACCCGGTGATTGATAGCCGCGGCCGCAAATATAAAATCACTTATATATATGTGATTTTTCGCACCCCTGCCCCCCTGGAGCAGTATATTTGCTATAGGGCAGATGGGATGTGGTTAAAGTAAGGAGCACATGGAAAAGCTTAGAAAAGAGAAAACAAAAAATGTTATTGCCAGCACACAGCCAAGAATTGGCTCACACGAATTGCACAGTGCGCAGGTGTGTTATCATGCAGCAACATCCACTGTCCAGTCATGTGCAACGCGGATGTGTCGTAGCAACTGTTTCCTTGCAGAATGCGATGTTCACAGTTTGACCTGCAGGAACGAATTCCTTGAACCTGCCGTAAACACATATTTTGCACACGGCTTCCGTCCCATACACCAACATTTCATGCATCTCCATCGCTGTTTTCCCCAATTTATAGCGGAATTTGATGTTCACTCCTTCCTCCACTGCACTTTGACCCTGCCTCTCACACTGACTACGTTCAACTGCCCGTAGTGGCTTTACCCTGACGTGTGCTAGGTGGTGCTTTTTGACATGTCTCTGAATAGCCATTTGCATGCGTGCGAACCTGGCCCATGTTGCCGTTCAGATATCGGACCATTCATTATACATTTTAGACACACCTCATATATGCCAATGTAGCACCCTCCTAGTTTAGCTAGGGGGCACTAGTGTTTTAATTGTCAGTGAGGAGGGCTGAGTAGCAGTCTGGGTGTAATAGCCAAAAGGTAAAATTATGATCAGGAGCTGAGAGGCTCTGCAGGCCAACCTCTCTGGAATTTCCCCCTAGGGCTTTGGAGGAAGGCCCTAGAGGCGGTGGGTGGATCTGAGGAGTGGCTGGCTTGCACTCTTGAGGGATCCTAGCCAATTCCCAACACAAAGTTGGAAAGGGCTGGGACACCCTTAAACGTGTTGGAGTCTGCTCAGTGGCAGGAGAGTTCAGGTGGAAGATAGAGGGGAAGATGTGAGGCTGAAGGAAGGAGGCTATGAGGAGGCCCAGTGGGATTTGGCCTACCTGCAGGTCTGGAGCTGGAAAGGAGGAAAGCTCATAGCTCACTGGCCCCCTAAGGTAGGACCACCTGTATGGCAGGGAAAGCCCAGCTGATAAACCTTGTAGCAGCCACCAACCCACCAGAGGTACAGGACAGGATCTGAGTGAGTACACCTACACCCCCTGGGTGGATAGGGGAAGGGGCACTCTGGTGGGAAACCAGATTAGCCACCTACCAGTGACTGTTCATCTCTTAAAGTTGCACTAACTGGATTCCCTGTTTAGGGCTACCTCCAGCTTGCTGAGTGAAGAAGAGAAGTTCATCTAGGTTCTGGGGTAGTACACAAAGGAGATGCTGGCTAGTTCTCACAACAGAGATTGTGCTGCAGAGAAGGCTTGCAAATAGTTCCAGAAAGTTGTCCTCAGTTTATCAGTACCCTTTGGGCATCCTGTACACCCCTTACCCTATCCCATTTCAAATCCCCTAAATAATACAACAAAATCAAAGCTCAAGGACTGATTTCTAACTCTGGATGCAGGCTTTTGTGTTGTTGTCTGACGCCTTGCTGTCCAGGACTATAGGGGGACCCAACTCTTTTAGCGACTCTTAAGGGGGTAGTGCTACACCTAGTTATAACATTGTGGAACAAAACTATGGAATCCAGGAAAAGCCACTGTAAAGATTGTGAGTATATACAAACTTTATACAAATGGTGCCTGTTCTTGCAACTAAAGCTGGAATCATAGTGATGCAAGACCACAGAATGGACTATTATGTCAATGTTTGTTAGCGTTTCATTAGTATGGAACTTGTACTAAATATTTATTCTGTTAGTAAACATATTAGAAAAAAACATCTGCCAGTGGTATAGTACATGCTAGGAGGTGTTCATTAATTTTTTTCAATGGTCGATGTTCTGAATCATGTAGCTACCTTATTAATCATGCATTTCTTACACTATAAGGCACCATTGGCTGAATACATCTTTATGTTTGAGGATGCGTATGTAAATTCACCTAAGGGTCACTTGTCTAATGTGTTTAAATGATTAGTTTGTTAACTGTCCATGGTGGTGATGCAAATATCCTAGTCATGATTACTATTCTTCTAGGAAACAAGTCTACAAATCCCTCAGCACTCTCTATCCACATTATGCTTGCAAGCAATACTTAGATGCTTTTCAACAGCTGGAAAAATATTGCGGATTTACAGAAAATTCTATACCACAACTTCAGGATGTGTCTAATTTTCTTAAAGGTAATCTACTAAACAGAAAGGAAATTACAGCAATCATATATCTATTGAATTGTCAGGTTTGTAGCCACAAGATAGCTTGTAGGAAGGTGCAACATTTAGTCAACATGCACAAGGGCTCATTAGGGGTATACAATGTAAAATTCTGACTTCTTTCCATACACAAGAAGCCCAGGTCCTGCATATATTTGCACATAGACATGAATGGCGGTGTGCAGCTGTATGAGGGTAAAAAAGCAAAAACATTTACTTGCACATTGTACACTCCTAATGTGCCCTTTCTGAAGCTATACAGATTCCATATACAGCAAAGGGTTAGAATATGCATCTTCACCTATTTGGCATGCAGAGTTTCTGGTTGACATGGAAATGAACTTACTTGAAAAAAAGGATTAGAGATAATTTATTTGGGAGAATCTGCAATATGACAGTTTTTGATGCACATAGTAAGCCATCCTGGAATTATTCCTCTAGGCCACATGTGGTGTGGGTGCATGGCCAATGGTGGGCATCATGTAGACTAATTGCTAAACAGGACAGCATTTTGATGATAAAGTCAAGAGTGTTTTATTTCAACAGAGCATACTGTACATATGTTCACCAACTAATGTTTCATGGACACACAAGTCCCCTTTAATAAAGTTTTGTAGGGAAACTTCAAAGGGAAAAAAAAGCTTATACTGTATGTAGAGTTGAATAAGCAGACTGGAATATTAGGTACCTCCCATCATCAAAAACTGAGTGGGACTTGGTGGAGCAAGTGACTATGCAGAATGATGTAGCCTTAAAGTAGTATTACAATTCTTATCCCAGCACTTGCAGTTTACAACTGTCAATGATGCTGGCTCCTACTCTCTCCTGCAGCTTCCCTGAACTTGCAGTCTTCACAAGAAAGAGTTATCAATGGAATGTGCAGTCTCCAACCAGTCTGATAGTTTGGGAGAGGGAGGGACAGGGGAGTGCCTTGCTACCCTAGGCTATAGGGCTGTGTGTTTTTTATTACTGCACACAGTGTTGGGAGACACAACTCTACTTCCTACATGTAAAGTTGGCTCCATTGGATTCTGAAAGGAGCCACCTTGAAACAGGGGAACTGGGGCAATGGTCATGTCATAAGCTTACACTGAAACATAGGAAAGGATTAAAAGATGAAGACGCATATGCCCAGGGGCGGACTGACAACTCATGGGGCCCCCGGGCAATAGGGGATCATGGGGCCCCTGTGTCCTTGCCCAAACTCAAAAAAAGCCTATGAAAAAGGTACCAGGGGCATCTCATGGGGCCCCCTACTGACCCGGGCCCTCGGGCAGTGTCCGAGTTTCCAAATGGTCAGTCCGCTCTTGCATCTTCCTAGCAGCACAGGAGTCAGGCTGCCAGGAGTTTGTATGTTCTCCCTCTGTGTGAGTTTCCTCCGGGTACCCTGGTTTCCTCCCACACTATAAAGACATGCTGGTAGGTTAATGGGCTCCTGTCTAAATTGGCCCTAGTATGTGTATGGATGAACGTGAGTTAAGGACCTTAGATTGTAAGCTTCTTGAGGGTTAGGGACTGATGAGAAAGTACAATATATGTAAAGTGCTGCATAAGTTGACAATGCTACATAAGTATCTGTAATAAATAAATAATAATTAGAAAGCTTCATACTCTGCAATTGATTAAATCAGCTGCTGAAAGTGAATAAAAACTGAGGATTTAATATCACTTTAATGATTTTTTTAACTTGAATTGTTGAACTGAGTTAAAAGAAACGTGTATCGAAAACATGTGCAGGCTATTTTTGCTAACCATCTTTGGAAAACACTTGTTGCATGGCTGACTCTGGCTTCAATACTATTGGATGCATAGACAGGAAAAAGCACGAGGTTCAAGGAGAGAGTATCCAAAGTCAAAACACTCAATTTGCAAACTTGCGAGTCACTGCCTCGATCAATGTATTAAACCCATTTGATCAGCAATGACAGCAAGTGGACTAGCATTTTTGGAGGTAGAGGAGAGAGTGATGGCATCCTATATATGTCTCTCTGTACAGGCTCCCTTTATTCTTACAAACTTTCATTTTGTTGTATTCAATTATATAGAAAGATCAGGATTCAAACTGAGACCAGCAGCTGGTTTGCTTTCTGCGAGGGATTTTCTTGCTTGTCTAGCTTTCCGTGTATTTCCGACAACTCAGTACCTGAGACATCCCTCCACTGTCATGCACTCTCCAGAGCCGTGAGTACACTGACACAGCATCCAATATTTACTGCACTGTGTTTAGAGGTCATGCAGTCTTAAAGAGTAACTCAACTTTTGTTGAAAAAAAAAAAAATCAATGTACCATACATTGCAAGGATTTTTATACACGTTGTTGCAGATTCCTACTTGTTTCTACTCTGAAGAAAAATGTGTTTGTTCTACTATGTCATTTGGATAATGATTCTGAATGGGATTGACTTATTTATTTTGATCAGCTAGTGCAAGTCTTCTAATGCGAGAAACTGCAGTGTCTGCATCCCTTTAGAAGTGATTAACCTTTACAGAGTATCCCAGCAAAAATGACATTTTTTGTTGTGCAGAGGATGACACAAAATCTAAATTGTATATTAGTGTAGAGTTCTTTACCCAAGCAGGAAATGACACTTCTGGGAGCGTTCTGTACACCAACTGTGTACAGAATGCCTCCAGGTTGCCATATTGAATTGAATTTTACATAAAATTACAGAGCTGCAGTTTGAAAAGGAAAGATCTTTTTTTTGCTAACATTAATTTACTATATGGTTTGTGTAGCAATTGTATATGTTAAAAGTATTTTTTTATTTGATATATTTTTTTTTCCCTGAAAATGGAGTTTAAGCAGATATGGCTAGTGCTCTTCTTTTTACCATAAAGTATGCTAGAAGGTGTTATTTCTGTAACATGCTGTTTGCATAATATGCTATTCTCATATTGAATTATTCAGTGCAGTGGCATGCCTAGCATAGCGGATTATTTTTTTTAAATCCCTCCCAATGCTCCTCCTTATGTCCTATTCATTTCAAAATAATTTTCAGTGGTAATCATGAAATTAAATAATTACTAACAATGGGCAGAAAAAAACAGTGAAGAGTTTCTTTAGCTGAAAGTTTTAAATATAAGTTATATGTAAATTATGAATTTTATGCAATGGGGAGATTTACTAAAGCTAGTTCACTCAGAATAAGGTGTGTACATGGCATATAGCCTGTGCATGGTTTAGCCAATCAGCTTCTAACCTCATCTTATTCAGTTAAGCTTTGGCAATAAAACCTGGAAGCTGGTTTTGCACTCTCCCAGCTTTAGTAAATAAACCCCAATGTGTCTTCATTTGGTACCAGTAAAGTCCGCTTTTTTATCACAGTTGGGAATCTTTTTTGGAGATAGAACATTTGGGATGTGATACTATTTTGGGCAGCAGTCATTTCTTAATTAATATAATCATGTTAGTAAAAAATCTTTGATCTTTCAAGAATCTTTGAGGGGTTTTTGTTTTGCACTGTGGCAAAACGTAGGAATAATTTCAGCTTGCTTTCATGGACACAAACCTAAAGGGACCCATATTCTAATGATATGATAATGTAAACAACTCTGACTTCACAATTCATTGTAAAAAATGGCTATTCTGCAAATATGGGCCTCAAAGAGTCAATTTTATACAATACCCAGACAAATGTCAACTGTTACAATAAGCAGGAAGTCAATAGGCAATCATTACAATACGCGGACAGAAAACAGCCAATTGGGATAAGTGAATCTGCGCAGGTTTGGCAAACAGTGACATGTAACAACACATTGCACCCCCCCTTCCCACAATGCATACCAGTGGGTGTGTGTTAAATACAGCATAGCGCACTGCAGCTACTATGAACAAAGCTGACCTGGGGAGATGGGTACTGCCATGGTGGCTACCAATGCAAAAAATACATTACAGTGGAGGAAGGTTTTTTTCATGCTCCATTGGAGGCAACATTGAAAATATAAAAAATCCTTTACATGGCATGCTTGGGGGATGTCTCAAAGGACTGATCTGATTGGATGCAGTCTCTTTTTGGCTGACAATTTTCCACATGGCTCCTTTGAGCAAATTTTGTCTGGATCCCTAGGAACTGTCTGAAATACATATAAAATTTATACTCGCCTCCTCGCATTGGCGAGTGGAAATAAGGTGGGGGCCTTGGAGGTCTTGCTGAGCAGGCTTGGAACTCAGGGCTGGCTCCGTCATTTGTACTGGGAGCCGTCAGACTGCCCATTAATTGAGCGAAGTGAAAGCAAAGGAAGGAGTGCGTGCTGTGCTCTCTGCTGCCTCCTCCTACAGTGCAGTACCCGGTTCTGTGAGTAAAGGTAACGAAGTACTGTACTGCAACTTTTGATAGGGCTGTGTACGCGTGTGTGTGTGTGCGTGTGTATCTGTGTGTGTGTATCTGTGTGTTGTGTGTATGTACATTTGTCTGTGTGTGTGTATGTACATGAGTCTGTGTGTGTGTATGTACATGTGTCTGTGTACATGTTTGTGTGTATCTGTGTGTGTGTGTATGTACATGAGTCTGTGTGTTTGTATGTACATGTGTCTGTGTATGTGTACATGTTTGTGTGTATCTGTGTGTGTGTGTGTGTGTATGTACATGTGTCTGTGTGTGTACGTGTGTGTATCTGTTTGTGTGTATCTGTGTGTGTGTGTGCACATGTGTCTGTGTATGTATGTGTATCTGTGTGTGCGAGTATCTGTGTGCACGTGTGTATCTGTGGGTATCTGTGTGTGTGTGTGTATGTACATGTGTCTGTGTGTGTGTGTATGTACATGTGTCTGTGTGTGTGTGTATGTACATGTGTCTGTGTGTGTATACATTTGTGTATGTGTACATGTGTCTGTATGTGTGTGTTTAAGCAGACATGTATGGGTGGTTTGGTCAGGTTCAGGATGATGTGGTTATTATGGGTGGTAGAGGATGGGGCATTTGAGGTATTGCTGGGTTGGGTAGGATATGCTTGGTAGAGTTAGGGTTTGGTGAGTGAGAGATTATGGTTGTATGCAGTGCATGGTCTATGTATGATGTAGTGCTTAGGGTTGGAGGCCCTGATGCAATATGGAGACTTTGGGGACCCTGATATAATGTGGGAGAACTCTGGGGACCCTGATGTAATGTGGGTAACATTTAACAGTGTCATTTCATGAGATAATTTACGAGGGCATGTTTAGGGGCAGAATTAGGGGCGGGGCAGGGTAGGGGTTGGGTGGGGCAACTGGTGGCGAGCAACTCTTAAGGCCTAGCTAGTAGCTCAGGACTTGAAATTTTGAGCCATGCTCTATGGCCAATTTTGGTTAGTTTAGCTTTAGCTTTGTTCGTTTAGTTTAGCTACGTGAAAAGTATAATATAAGTCATTGAAAGCTGCTGGAGAAGGCAAGATAAAATTTTATGCTTGAGAGCTGCCTTCTGTTATCTTGTTGTCTTAGACAATGATCTACAAGGGCCCTATTTTAAATGACATTCTGAGAATTGTTCGCATGCACATTTATTGTGATACTGATAAACTTACCTTTTGTTGTTCAGTTTCTTTGTTGAATGAGCATGTAAAAATAAAATTTCCCTCTTGTATATCCCTAGGGACTGCTGCCATGAATTGCTGGGCCATATTCCCATGCTTGCTGATAAAGAATTTGCACAATTCTCACAGGTAGACATGTTTAACAATATGTTAAGATTTTTTTTTAATTTTAATAATAATTAAGAAATTATTGCTGCCAAAAATAGTACCACATCCCAAATGTTCCTATCTCCCCAAAAATATCTATGTCAGTATATTAAACATTTGTGCCACAACATGCAGAACTTGAGAAAGATAATTATCAATCACCTACAGAAAAATCAAGAATACAGGTTTATAGAAAACAGCTTAGACCCATGCTATTCAATTGAAGGGCCAAGGACAGATTTTGTTATAACTGAACAGAGTAAAATTGCTATAATCATCATCTATACTCATCAGTCTGATTGCATGCACATCTATTTAATTGATACATAGGTAATGATAATTAAGGCACACTACTGCAAAATGTGAAATAAACCTCTTGTTTTTGAAAATGCTCCAAGTTAAAGGGCATGCTATACCTATGTATGATAAAGCATGCATTTTACAATGTGTTACTGCAATGCATGGCAATGCATTACACATAGAATAGTGCATTTAAGTGCCATTGATTTATTTTGAAGGGTATTCCAACACATCTATGCAGCACATCTATGCAACTTGCATTATTGTGCACTGCAATGCACAAATAAGAAGAGTGTATTGTGGTGTGCTGCATTCAATAAATAACAGTACTTGTCCATACATTAAAGTAGAATTGCTGCCAAACACTAACTGGTCTTAAAAATGTCCCCTCCCCTCTCCTGATACCTGTGCTGAATAATCTGTGTAAAAAAAGTGTATACTTACCTAATCTTAGCCCTCTCTGGTTCAGTCACGTGATTCGTGTGTTTGTCAGCAGCAGCAGGGGAGAGGAGGGAGTGTTGACAATGGCTAGGACATGGAAGCCTATGGATGATAGGATTTCCCAGCCATTGTCAAGCACTTTATCTTCTCCCCTGCAGCTACTGCTCCATAACACAGGGGATCATGTGACAGAACCAGAGTGGGCTGAAAATAGGTGAGGTGTGCTGAAAGGTGATTCAAATTGAATGGGCCTCCTTAACACAGTGTCTCCTACTGCAGGTAATGTGTTGTGTTAACACATGCAGGTTAATACAATGCAAAGTGTGAATGGGATCTTAGCTTTTTTATTTACCTCTCCTGCATCTGACTAGCTATCCTTTCTTCATAGGGGTTGATTCCCTTAAGTAGAGACAATTCCCTTAGTAAAGTAAATCTTACTTAGCAAAGTAAAGGTTCAAGTTAAAGCACACGTCTCACCTCCTAGCTCCTGCCACATGCAGTAATTTTTTTCCACAATTAGATGTGCTTAGTCTTCAAAACAATATATATGTTTAGGACACATATTGTATATATGACATATTATGTGTGCAACCCTGGCCAGCAGCCACATAAAGTTGTGGGATCTACATAGCTAGGGTATCATGAGACTGCACCACAATCTGGAAGGGATATTCCTCACTGGTGATAGGCAGCTGAAGAAAGGGGAGGATGTGATTGCCTGCAAGGGCAGCCAGAGGTCTTAAGCCCTTCCTCTATCAATAGAAGGCCAAATGCACCAGGGGAAGAATTAAAATGTGTGTGTAGACTGCTGAAGGGGAGAGACCCACTAGGCACCAAGAAAAGTGGGAGCTTAGGGTCACTCAATCCCACATGGTCCCCCTGTGTGAGATCTGCTGTGGAACATACATGGAAGAGAGGAGAGCTTCAAATACAATACACCTAGACATACTTGAGTAGTATTTGTTTTCCTACTATTGATTCATTGCTGTTGCAGTGTCTTCTCTACCCTCCTAGTGCATTTAAAGCCCTCTTAAAGGTGGTAAAGAGAACAAGCACTCTTTGTGTTTACTTAAAGTGTTAGTTCACCTTTACAGGAAATCTCTAAGGTAACCTAACACTGGGCCCCCTCCCCATCTTCTCCCGTTCCCGCTGTACTGGAGTCCTCTGCTGTAAGACACCATATTGCTGCTTTGCCAGTCTGGGAATGTGTAATCCCCATGGCTTAATCTCATTTTTACTGCTTAGCTAGTATGGACCAAAGAAATTCTAATTGGTCAGCACTGTCACATGGACAGCACTGATCAATCAGAATCCATCTAGCCCCTCCTGTCAGCACTGCAAGGAGAGGAAAGAATGTCACAATGTCACAGGGATTTCAAATGCCCAGACCAATAAAGTGGCATGCTGGTTTCTGACAGTGGGCTCCAGTACAGTAGGGTCCGGGAAGGGAGGGGGGGGGGGAGGATGACGAGGGGATCCAGTGTTAGGTCACCTTACAGCTTTCTGTGAAGGTGAACTAACACTTTAATCTTGTGATTACACTATATTGCAATCATTGTGTTGTTGCAATTACTCATTCCACAATTTCTATGCTATTATTAATGAGTAGGGGTTATCCCTGTGTTATTAAATCCCAGATATCTGCTACTGATGTGTCAGTGTACTAATAAGTCTGGTTTCAGGGTTACAGTCATGACTGGAAACAGAAGGAGAACCCAACATTTACAGTATCTCCTTCAAGGGTCATTACTATACATGGGAGCATCGTCTGGGATTCTCCTAGCCCTTTTATCAGAGTGATACCTGTGCCAAGCAGTGCGAACCAAGCCAGAAAAATAGCTCCAGTCACTGCTCTCAAGTAGTGTGAAGAACAGAATGGCCAACTGGAGTTAGGTGTGGTAATGGACATCTCCAATGATGGTAGGATAGAGAATCAGATTTGTCAGGCAGATTTCTGGCATCTGATCATTGGGTGTTCATTCTAGACAGGGGGATAAACCATAATACCGCCCACACCTACTCACTCATAGAATAGGAAACACATTCCAGATTTCTTCTGCACTACACATCTAAAACTGACAGGTGACACCAAAGTCAAGATAATTCAAATTCACAGCACTCCCCCTGCAGAAAGGCAGGTACGCAAATTAGCGGTCCCACGGAAAAAAGCCCAGTTCTGTGAGGCAGCTAATTTGCATGTGGTTGGCGTCAAGAGGTTAAGGACCAATTAAGCAAATGATCCTCTATGATGTCTAGAAAGCCAAAGACCAGAGCTTTTTCTGATTGAATATATTGGCTGCAACTTCATGATGGACTGATTTACAGAGGATTTTGGCAATCTCAAAGAAAATAAGTAGTTTTTACTTCATGAAATACATAGAAGTGCAGTATTCACAACCCTACATCTGGGACCAGATAGGACTTTCAGACTAGTAAGAGATTGGTTCTAATGGCCTTGTATGAGAACAGACATAGAGAGTTAAAGCCATTCATGTTTGTGCTGTATACGGTCGAAGACTCTCCCCACCAGAGCTTCCCGAGGGGGCCACCCTAAAATTCAAGGTCCTGTAATTTGAGTCTGATACGAGTGGACAAGGAAATGTTTTGATTGTGAATACCACTTTAACTGTTATGCTGCAGCTTTCCCAAGGAAAGATCAAAAATATTCTATTGTAGACTATGCTCTGGTGGAACAATTCTTCAAACATTACAGGCTAACTAAGAGGATTCTAATTAAAAGGTATGCGCTAATAACAAACTTATACAAAGGTGTATATCATCATCCAAAAAACATTAGTGTTTTTAATAAATAATTATAGTGTCCAAACATAAATTAGTGTCCAAACAATATATGTATATCTTCAGTGACTTGAACCAATTGTGAAAAATCCACCACCAAAGGAGATTAAATGAACTCACCAGAGCTAATGGCTGGTCAGATTATAAACCAGCAACAGCGCTTGTTCTCTGGGAGCAATGAACCCGATGTCCAAATAGATATGGTGATGTTTCAGATACTTCCAGATAATAATCACAGACAAACAACTTTGCAGCCCAAGCTCTTATGATGAACTTCTCCACTCTTTCTCATATCTCCATGAGAGCATACAGTACACTCAGGGACAAAAAAGAGAACATAATGGTGCAATACGTTTCTTTCATTTATCTCTTTAATAAAAAAAGGTATAAGGAAACTCACAAACAAGGTGTCCAACAGACACCAGCTTCAATCGCAAAGAAGGGTTGAGATACAGTTAACGCTCACCGCGGATCTCTCCCATACAGCACAGAACAGCAAGGCTCTCTAACGTCCACATCATGTAGGCTACGCCCAACCGGTTTCGTCACACCGACGTCATCAAGGGGCGGTAACGTATTGCACCAATATGTTCTCTTTTTTTGTCCCTGAGTGTACTGCATGCTCTCATGGAGGTATGAGAAAGAGTGGAGAAGTTCATCATAAGAGCTTGGGCTGCAAAGTTGTTTGTCTGTGATTATTATCAGGAAGTATCTGAAACATCACCATATCTATTTGGACATCGGGTTCATTGCTCCCAGAGCACAAGCGCTGTTGCTGGTTTATAATCTGACCAGCCATTAGCTCTGGTGAGTTCATTTAATCTCCTTTGGTGGTGGATTTTTCACAATTGGTTCAAGTCACTGAAGATATATATATATTTTTTGGACACTAATTTATGTTTGGACACTATAATTATTTATTTAAAACACTAATGTTTTTTGGATGATGATATACACCTTTGTATAAGTTTGTTATTAGCGCATACCTTTTAATTAGGATTATTGTTTCCAAAATTTATTTTGGGTGGGATATGCTGCTGACATTTTGGTGTTCTTTGTAAGTGGCGCTTTTTTCTTTTTTAATTTGGTAACTAAGAGGATTCACAGGAAGAGATTTTGAGAGCAAACTTTTTAAACTTGTCAAACATGCTGGGGATACAGATGTCCCAAACCACTCCTTACCATCCTGAGGGGGACCCACAGCCTGAATGATTTAACTGAACTCTCCTAAACATAGAGACACTCACAGAGAAAAAGGTGCTAAATTGGAGTAGACCCATCTCAGCAGTGGTTCATGCCTACAATAGTACAGGGTATTCTCTCTAGATGCTCATGTTCAGGAGAGAAATTCAACTGCCAGTGGATCTCGTTTTGGGTATCTCCACAGATAGGATTGTCAGCAACACTGGACAAGGGATATGTTGACGGACTCCAAAAGCAACTGAAGACTGCTTATGCTATATGTTGAAAAAAAAAAACAAGGACCAAATAAGCAAATCTTTTTTGGTCTTGTTTTTTCTCTTGCTCCTCTATTTCTAAGACATTTTAAATGGAATTAATACAAAAATAGAAATGAGTCCACCCCATTCTGTTTATCTAACCCTATGATTAAGCCCCTTCGGTCAAATGCACCAGTGTGACTCCTGCTGGGGGCCATGTACTTTCAATTACAATAAAACCATATAAATGCTGGAAGACAGTGTGGCAGCATTCTCTGCAATATTCAGCCTTAAAGACTGGTAATCCTGTGAGTTCATGGACCCACACCCAAAGTGAGCACCACCACAGCCTGCAGTCAAATGCATAAATGCAGAGACATCATCACTGCACTCTGCAACACCAAGGACCTCCAAGCGCTGGAGAAGACCTGAAGAAAAATGGACCCTGCACATCATATGACCATCCTGAAAACATTTGGAAAAGGAAATAAAAAAATAAATACAACACTCTAGGGGGAATGGAAAGGGGGTGGGATATTATGGCAGGAGGAGGAGCACTGTGGATAGGGGAGGGGTATACTGAAAGGAGTAAGCCCAGAAATGGACTTTAAGTTTGTGAATAAGGTATACCTGTGCTCCTTTTTATCTATCCAATTTACTTATCCAATCATACAGATAAATTATTGTCTCAACTTGCAACATTCATTTACAAAGCAGAATGAAAACTTGGACTTAGCACCATCTGCCACCAGATTTGAAAAGGAATACTTATACTTGAATCGTAATGAAACTGTATATATGGAGATTTAAAGCTAAAGTGATCTTTTAGTTTTTAATGTACTCCATGTGCAGCAAAACAAAAAGCTTGGAAATTAATTTTTTTTTTCTCCAGAAAACAGCTACAACCCTAGTAGGAAAGCATGTCTACTGCATTCATGCTGTTAAGATGTTTTCTTGTTCTCTGTGTGGAAGCAGTTGTCTCTCAGCAGTTGCAGAGGTTTGACATACCCCCTGCTGATTCATAATTCTGCAATCATCAATATCATGCTCACTGGTGACTGGAGAGTTGTAGCTTAGATTCAGCAGGGGTCATGTCAGACTTCTGCAGAGAGACTAGTGCTTCCAAACAGAGAGAAGGTATCCTTCTTTAACCACCTTCCACCCGCCATATAGTACAATGACGGGCGCAAGGTGGTTCTCTCGTTCTGATAGGACGTCATATAACGTCCTACCATTCTCACTGCGCATGCACGGCTCAGGGAGCGCGCAGCGCGGCGATCGCCGGTGCGCTGTGTCCCTTGGACACAGCGGATCACGGAAAGAGCCGAAGATGTCGGCTCGGTCATGTGATCAGCTGTGTCCAATCACAGCTGATCACATGGAAACATGGAAATGCCGGTTATCGGCATTTCTCTCTCCTCTCGAGCTGTCACGCTGACGGCTCGAGAGGAGAGGAGAGCCGGTAATTGGCTTTCCGCGGAGGGGACATGTACACTGATCATCAGGGCACTGATGATCAGTGTGCCCTGATGATCAGTGTGGCCCCAGAAGTGCCACCTGTCAGTGCTGATCAGTGCCAGTGCCCATCAGTGCCACGTGCCAGTGCCCATCAGTGCCACATCAATGCCACATATCAGTGCATACCAGTGCACATCAATGCCACATATCAGTGCCCATTTGAGCTGCCTTTCAATGTCACCCATCAGTGCCAGTCAGTGCCACCTTTTAATGCCAATCAGTGCCACCTATCAGTGCTGCCAATCAGTGCCAGTCAGTGTCGCCTATCCGTGCCAGTCAGTGCCGCCTATCAGTGCCAGCCAGTGCTGCCTATCAGTTCCGCCTATCAGTGCCATATATCAGTGTCATGTATCAGTGCCATATATCAGTGCTGCCTTTCAGTGCCCATCAGTGATGCCTGTCAATGCCCATCAGTGCAGCCTATTAGTGCCCATCACTGCAGCCTCATTAGCGCACATCAGTGAAGGAGAAAAATCACTTATTTACAAAATTGTATAACAAAACTAAGAAAAAACTTTTTTTTTCAAAATTTTCAGTGGTTTTTGGTTTGTTTAGGAAAAAATAAAAATCCCACAGGTGATTAAATACCACCAAAAGAAAGCTCTGTCTAAAAAAAATGATACAAATTTCATATGGGTACAATGTTGCATGACCGTGCAATTGTCATTCAAAATGTGACAGCGCTGAAAGCTGGAAATTGGCCTGGGCAGGAAGGGGGTATAAGTGCCCTGTAGGCTAGTAATTAAAGAATGCTGGTAGGGAACAAGCTTTTGGCTGCATTTGTAACATTCTTTTAATAGGATTATCTTGTTAATGCAAAATATGTACTTGTTTTCCTGGGGCTAACATGACATAAAATAATATAATATAGTAATGTGTAAATAATCTGATATGAAATGTTCCCAGTAGTATCAGAAAATGAATACCTAATAACATAAATAAATAAGGTAAAGCCACCTTTGTCACTTATAGGCACAAGTCTACTCTGCCTAATGGTACATTCACCTCTGACTATGCTTGTTAACATTACTACCACAATTACTATCACAATGCCACTAATACTATTGCAATACTAACAATAGCAACAAAAACACAAATAATACATATTTTTACCAATTGCACAGTTCATATACTGGGGACTGATTTTTATTTTTGCATTTTTCAGGATATTGGTATAGCTTCACTGGGAGCAGCTGATGAAGATATACAAAAATTGTCAACAGTAAGTGTGACACTGACAACTCAAATGACCTCTACAATAAGAATAGAAACTATAAAACATGTTTTAAGTGGTAGCCTTTAACTTGAAATCTATTTTTACAAATGACTGTGATGACATGAGTAATATTAAACTGGAAAGTTTTTAGAACGATAGAAAACACTTTAGAGGTTGTGTTTCTCTAAAGTCAACCCTCCTACCTGAGGTATATATTAATCACTTGGACATCCAGTAGGTGGATATTGGATGACTTTGTGTTCTGTGTACCATACAATCACTTGTGTTTTCCCTACATGATCCAGAAGTCAATTTTGTTGTCAGTCATCCAAACTTCTCAGATTTGTTGGTATGCATGTATAGCCAATTGGTTGAAACTTGTGTTGCCTAGCTATTAACGCTAATTATAATTAGTAGCCCAAATTGGGCTTTTACTAAGCAACATGGAAACAACTATCTAATACCCACTAGTATACTGTATAAATATATAAAGTGCATACTTACTATAGTATGCAGCACAACATATTTCGCTTTGTATTGCCATCGTTATTTTGATTACTTACTCAAACAAGAATAAAACCACATCTGCAGAACAGTACTAGCTACTTACCTTGACAGCATTATTCTGGGATAGTATATCATCAAGGTAAAGCATAAATGACAAAACTTCTACGAAATCTAAAAAATAAAACTGTGGTAAGTGAATAAATACTTGTACATTTTCAATCTGTGTCTCTTTTGTGAAACAGTGAAAATACGCAAAACTGTATAAGCACAGAATACAGGTCATTATTATAATTTAACAGTATCATACTACACAAGCAGTTTGATAAAACAGTTGATATCCTGTATTTTAGCTTTATTGGTTTACCATTGAGTTTGGACTCTGCAAGCAGAATGATTCCGTCAGAGCCTATGGAGCTGGTTTGCTGTCATCTTATGGGGAGCTTAAGGTAAGAATGGTCTTATGTAAAAAAAAAAAAATGTTTTTCTAAAAAAGAGCATGTGTATTTACAGATGTGATGCTACTTGTAGTGAAATCATTTTTAATCATCGTAATTTTGTACTTGAAGACTTACAAACACAAGAGACAGTCTGCAACCTGTATAAAACATTGTTGTCTAAGGCCTGTTGTATATATATAGTAATATGTAGGCAGATACATAACTGTTATTTGAAATTGTCACTTCATTTTTAATAAATTCAAGCAGCAGTTATATTATTTACAGGAGTGACCAGGTTTCCCACTAATATAACCATTTCCAGCTGTCCTCTGTTTTACATTGATTCCTCTTAATGCTTAAATGTTTCCTGAATACGGAAGTTTTCTTAACACATTTAGTAAGTACAAAAGAAACAGATACAGTAGGGTTGATTTACTAAATAAAGACTGTTCACTTAGCAAAGTGAATGTTCACTTGGAAAAGTTTATGTCCACTTTGCAAAGTGAATGGTAGTATATTAGGTGAACATGTGTTCACTTTTAATACTCAAGCTTTTGCGAGAGAAAGAAAAAATGGCAGATTGAATGAACACAACTTTATATTGTGAAAATTCAGTGTGCAAAGTGAAAGAAAAATATACCATGGCATTCATAAAGAGTGTTGTAGATACCACACCATACTACAATTGTCAGTGTTTGCAACAAGTTGATGTAACTGTCAGAAACAGGTACATGAATATGAAGCCGGCGCATGACCAAAGAGTTTCCTTTTGAAGTGGGTGGAGCCTGATTGGGAAATTTAAGAGACTAATTTCCCATCAGGTCTGCCTGGCATGTGCCTGACAGCAGACAGCAGTGGGCGGATTCCATAGCCACTACTCAGACCAATAATAGCTATAAAATCTGCCCACTGCTGTCTGCTGTCAATCACAGGCAAGGCAGACCATGCAGGTGCAGGGCTATCATCCAGCTCCTCCTACAAAATATGAGATTATGGAAAAGCAAAGTGTACCTAAGAAACCCAGTGATGACGTCACTAGGTCTACAAAGAGGTATATTTTGAAATCGCAAACTATTCTCCTGAAAATTCTATTTGCATATTGATCGGAATGTTTCCATCCTTCATTGTGAATGTAAACAACATTATAGGGCTAACTTTAGACTGAATTTACAGGGTTGGTTGGTCTGGTTGGAGATCCGTGGTCTCCATTTTATATACTGGTCAATGTAAAATAATATGCTTTCAAACATATCGTCACAAGCCATTAAAATCCATATGTAACATTTAGGCTCCATGAACACTAGCGTTTTTTTTTAGGCTCAAAAATGCTGGAAAAATCGCTGGATAAAAAACACTGATAATAGCATTTTTTAGTAGCGTTCAGAAGCTTTTAGGAGTGTTAGCATATTATTAGCATTTTTACAGTACATGTAGCAAAACAAGAAGAAAAAGCTAGAAAAAAGCTGTTAGTATCATTTAGGAGTGTTGCTGAAGCTCTAAAAACGCTAATAGCCTAAAGTAGTGTACATGGACAACACTATTTAGCTTCTATAGGCAGGAAAAAATGCTAATAACAGTGTCTAGGAGCTTAAAAAAAAGCTTGTGTGCATGGAACCTTACTCCCTGGTTAGAATAAACACAACAAACATGATCACCAGATGCCTAATTGAAAAGTGCAGAACCCTCTAGCATGGGGGCAGCAACCAGTAGATCATTACCAGGTGACTGGTAGATCGCGGTCTGGGCTTGCTGACCCGCCATCCCAGAGCATCAAACAGAAAGCAATGCAGAGGGACTGTATAGTTGGCGTTGTAGTAAGGAGCAAGAGACTCATAAGCCGATGCCTCCTCTGTAGTGCTGGCTCCGGTTCCATGCGAAGTGATACCAGTTTCACTCCTCCACGTCTATTATATCCTGTGTGTTTTTCTTTCTTAAAGTGCACCAAAAATCTTTCTTAAAGTGCACCAAAACTCCTGAATGCAAGCCAGCCAAGTCTGTTTGACAGGTGGTGAGGAGGCGATTTAAACCAATGATTGCTATGAAATGCACGGGATTGCAAATGGTAGTACAGCAATTAGAGGGTTAAATCAGGTGTGAGGAGGCAGCACTGTGCCTGGGAATCTTTTACTATTCCAAAGTTGTTCAGGTAGATGTCCGTCTCTCTAAGGTTGCCTACCCCTGCTCTAGCATATTTATGAGGGTCCCTTAAAATGCTGTCCTACATAACCCTTTATATGCTACATTTTAATGTATTTTTGTAAAGTAGACCCTTTTACATCTGTTATGAGAGTTTCATCAGAAAACAGTGTATCCTAAATTACACCCCCTATTTTTAAGGCTGCAGAGCAGATGACACAGCTCTGCACTTCTAATGAGTATGCCTACATATCCAGAGGCTGGGGACTAGGATTTTAACCTCATTTAGGACCATTTCATCTTTAAATCTTGGAAGTATTAAATCAATCAATAAGTATGACCACATATAATGTAAATGTGGAAGAAGGAGCTGCTGCTAAAATGAGGGGGCGCACAATGTGCATGCACGGATTTCCAAAAAGGATGAGTTCTTAATCCTGGGTGTTCTGGTTCAACACATTTTGCATCTCTGGCTTAGTCAGGACACAGGATCATTGGCAATAGTAGTATTTCCTTTCCATAGCATATATTTACATTCATTTCTGTATCTTTTCAGTATGCATTATCAAATAAGCCTGAGCTTCGACCTTTTGATCCAGAAATGACTGCAATCCAGCCCTATGAAGACAACAGCTTCCAGCCGGTATATTTTGTATCCGAAAGCTTTGATGACTCCAAAGCCAAACTCCGGTTAGTGGGTGTATATAGAAACACGGGTCAAACACAAAAATATATCTGTGAATAACTAACAGTAGCTTTTGGAAAAGCATTGTAAGCCGTGTACCGGGGTGGGCTCCCCAGGATACAGTGAAGTCACGAATGAGGAAAGCAACCCCAACACCAGCTTTTGCCACAACAGAATTTTACTTAAATGTGGCAAATAAACACAACCACAAATGCTGGAAACATACAATAAATTTACATACACCCAGCCCAAAGGCTGAGACCCTTGTGCTGCACAGTACGGCGCCTTCTGATGGATGAAGGTAGAAAGAGAAGTAATTTACCTACTGGGGGCACAAATAAGCTGCCACACCTTACCTGTTATTACCCTAAAAGAGCAGGAATCAGTGTATGGGTGTATGGTATGGGCTAGCCTGCGGAGCAACACAACAGCTTACAATCTTACACAAATCTACAGTATTCTCTCTCCCATAACTGGTCCTGTAGCACGTGCCTGAGTATTCTTTCTGAGCAAAATGCCAGTCTGGCTTGAGTTTGTAGGATTTTATCAGCTCGCCAATGTGAAATGTCACTTTAAGTTGTGGAGTCCTTCCAATCAGTAACAACACTTATGGCCTGACACAAACAGACCCTAACTAACTAACTATAGGCCTGGACTCAGTCTCAAGGCACCAACACTGAAATGAGGTGCGTGCACAATCTTACCGACCCGGGTCTGCTTTGCATCTGCTGGTGACTCTGAACAGAACAAATGTCTCTCCAACAAGCATGCGGTCTTGCCGTATATGTTGCTTAGTTCCTCTGCTCTCATCAGCCTCCCTGGCAGCAATCTCATCAGCATTCCTGGCAGCAATCTCATCAGCTTCCTGGCAGCTCTGGCCACTGAAGGATGCTCCCACACCTGGATGTCAGCAGATTCTCAGCTCACAGGGCCCCCCATTCACCATGCTCCAAAACATGGCTTCCCTCCCTCTTTCCTGTTCTCTCTAACTCTGTGTGCAAAACCCCACCTCTTCATGAATATACAAATATCTATGCAATCTGAGGCTGTGTTAGAAAAACAGTGACATCGTGTGGCTAAACCGCAGAATGTCAGTCAAAACATTAATTTACTTCCACACAAACAGTGTTCAAACAATGAGAGCTGTTTCCCCATCTCACAGCATCATAAATGTTTTATTGCAGCAAATCTTTGACCTTCTCCAAATATCTCTAGGCTTTAGTTATCTCTTCTAGCTTTAAGAAACACTTAAAAAAGAAAAAAGAAACAAAACTGTAGTCAGTTGCAACTGTTTTTGCAGATCAAGCATAGTAAAAAAATATGGAATCACTCAATTCTGAGGAAAATATTATGGAATCATGAAAAAAACCACTACAGTACACCACTAGTACTTTGTTGCACCACCTCTGGCTTTTATAACAGCTTGAATTCTCTGAGGCATGGCTTTAACTATCGACAAACAGTATTCTTCATCAATTCAGCTCCAACTTTCTCGTATTGCAGTTGCCAGATCAGCTTTACCGGTTGGAGCCTTGTCATGGACCATTTTCCTTAATTTCTACCATAGATTTTCAATTGGATTGAGGTACGGACTATTTGCAGGCCATGCCATTGACATTAGATGTCTTTCTTGAAGGAAATTTTTCATGGCTTTTGCCCTATGCAAGATGCATTATCATCCTTACCACATCCCGACCGTCCTATAGCAGATATACTGCTACAGGGCGGCAGGGGTGCGCAAAATCACGTATTCACAACCACAGCTGTCAATCACCGGGTCCCAGCCGGTGATTACCTGCCTGCGCCCGGTGATTACCAAGGATCTCCGATGGGGAGGAGTGCTGCTTTGTTTACTAACAGTCTTCCTCCCTGTTGGCTCAGGCACACTGCTCTAGATGGCTGTGCACAGTGTGCTTACAGTGAAGCACCAACACACACCCCCAGTAAAACACTCCCAGCACACAGTTAACCCTTTGATCACCCCCCATGTTAACCCCTTCCTGCCCAGTGCCATTAGTGCTGTGTCAGTGCTTGCTCTTTAGCACTGATCACTGTATTGGTGCCACTGGGGATGTCAGTGACACCAAGTCAGTTCCCTCCCCAGTGTCAGACTGCCCGCCGCAGTCTCACAGTCCCGCTATAAGTCGCTGATCGCTGCCATTACTAGTAAAAAAAAAATTCCAGTATATATATACCGCCATTTGTAAATGCTATAACTTTCACGTAAACCAATTAATTTACATGTATTAGGATTTTTTAGCAAAGAATACATTTTGGACTAAATTTATGACAAAATTTGATTTTTTTAATTTTTGTACTGGACATGTTTAATAGCAAAAAGTTAAAAATATTGTTTATTTCTCAAAATTGTTAGTCTTTTTTTTTGATAGCACAAAAAATAAAAACCACACAGGCGATCAAATACCACCAAAAGAAAGTGCAATTTGTTGGAAAAAAGGACATAAATTTAATTTGGGTGCAGCGTTGTATGACTGCGCAATTGTCAGTTAAAGTAAAGCAGTGCCGTAACACAAAAAATGGCCTGGTCAGGAAGGGGGTTAATCCTCCAGAGAGCAAGTGGTTAAAAATTATGTCATTATCACCAAACATCCTTTCAATTGATGGAATAAGAAAAGTGTCCAAAATCTCAATATAAAATTGGGCAATTAATTGAAGATTTAATGACTGTCATCTCCCCCATACCTTTACCTGATATAATTGTGGAAATTTGCATGTTTTCTTCAGGCAGTCGTCTTTATACATTTCATTGGTACGGCACCAAACAAAAGTTCCAGCATCATCACCCTGCCCAATGCAGATTTGTGTCCATCACTGAATATCACTTTCATCCAGTCATCCACAGTCCATGATTGCTTTTTTACCCCACTGTAACCTTGTTTTTTTTCTGTTTAGGTGTTAATAATGCTTTTCTTTTGGCTTTTCTGTATGTAAATCCCATTTCCTTTAGGCAATGTCTTACAATTCGGTCACAGACATTGACTCCAGCTTCTGCCCATTTGTTCCTCATTTGTTTTGCTGTGCATATACTATTTTCAAGGCATATTGCTTTAAGTTTTCTATCTTGACGCTTTGATGTCTTCCTTGGTCTACCAGTACGCTTCCCTTTTACAACCTTCCCATTTGATTTGTACTTGGTCCAGATTCTGTAAGCTTCCCTTTTACAACCTTCCCATTTGATTTGTACTTGGTCCAGATTCTGTAAACAACCAACATCTTTTGCAACTTTGCGTGATGATTTACCTTCTTGAAGAAGTTTTATAATCCTCTCCTTTGTTTCAACTAACATCTCTCCTGGTGGAGCCATGTCAGTCAATTTGATGCAACAGTTCACCAAGGTGTGCAAGCACTCTTTTTTAACTGCAGACTAATTAGCAGATGTAATCTGATGCAGATGTTTACTTTAGAACTGTAAAGTACATGGCGATTCCATAATATTTTCCTCAAATTGAGTGATTCCATATTTATTTCTCTGCTTGATCTGCAAAAACAGTTGCAATTGAGTACAGTTTTTAAGTGTTTATTAAAGCCAGAAGTTTAGAATGTTAAATGAAAATAGTTTTTGTGATTGTTTTTTTTTCTACACAATTAAACAATTGAATTAACATTTTCCAAGAGTGGTGACTCCATACTTTTTGCCAGGGGTTGTATATATTCTGGTTATGCAGTCTACTGATCACACAACCTTACAACCATAGAGTTTGGTTACTAACCCACCCCAACCCATAATGTTAGATTGAAAAAACTGTGGAATACAGTAGGACCATATTGGCTCACTCTCACCTCCTTCTTTCAACTGTGAAGGAAATTGGGGGAAATATAAGCCAAATTGAGATACATAATTCAGGAATTATGAAATAAAATCATATACATCCAAGACTTGCTAAATTTTGCAAAAACACATCTGAAGTCTCCCAAAAACATATGGGAAAATGTGTTATGGTCTGATGAAACCAAGGTTGAAATTTTTGACCATAATTTCAGAAGATATCTTTGGCACAAAAACAACATTGCACATCACCAAAAGAACACCATACCCACAGTGAAGCATGGTGGTGGCAGCATAATGCTTTGGGGCTGTTTTTCTTCAGCTGGAACTGGGGCCTTAGTCAAGGTAGAGGGAGTTATGGACAGTTCCAAATACAAGTCAATATTGCCACAAAACCTTCAGGCTTCTGCTAGAAAGTGGACACAAAGAGGAACTTCATCTTTCAGCATGACAAAAACCCAAAACATACATCCAAATCAACAAAGGAATGGCTTCACCAGAAGAAGATTAATGTTTTGGAATGGCCTAGCCAGAGCCCAGACCTGAATCCGATTGAAAGTCTGTGGGGGTGATCTGAAGAGGGCTGTGCACAGAAGATGCCCTCACAATCTGACAGATTTGGAGTGTTTTTGCAGGGAAGAGTGGGAAAATATTGCTAAGTCAAAATGTGCCATGCTGATAGACTCATACCCAAAAAGACTGAGTGCTGGAATCACATCAAAAGATGCTTCAACAAAGTATTAGTGTAAGGGTGTGTACACTTATGAAACCATATTATTTTAGTTTTTTATTTTTACTTCCCTCCACCTAAGAGGTTGAAAAAGTTCTGAAATGATTTATCTTTATCTAATTTTTTTACATCACAGACACCTGACATTTTAACAGGGGTATGTAGAGTTTTTATATCCACTGTACCTCTAAATTAAAGGTTAAGTCCACCCTTTCTCATAATCAAGGTGTATTTACTACTTTTTTTGCAACAAAGTCTGTAGAGCAATGCTCCCAGGACCAGTGCATCATGCAATCTTGCGTTTCCCCAGTCTTAGGTTCATATGGGGGTACAGACCTGCTGTTACTCAGCTGGAGGAAGTGTGCGTAAGCTACAGAGTATGGAGAGGGAGGAGGGATCTCCTGCATGCTCTACATAGTTCCTCTGCTGCAGTGATAGATGGGACCATTGAGCATTCCCAGACCTTGATGAGATGGCTATCTGGGCGAAGCAATGAATAGCCATGCTAAATTCAAATAATTACAAGATTCAGCAGGCAGAGGCACCCTGCTATTCAGGTATGGGGTTGGGTGGTTTGTGTTTTTGGAATGGTGTGTGCAATCACACTTCATTTTACACCCAAAATGTGAGAGCAACATGAAGCAGGGTCTAAAAATGAACTTAGCCTTTAAGTCCTTTCTGCCTTCTGAGATACAGCCCTGTGCTTAAAGAACTCATTTAAAACACTGTTAAACATAATAAGATTAATTAGAACCAAACTATTAAAATACTAAATATATATATGAATATATTTAGTAAATCCAACAGTAATAAAAGCATGTAAACAAGTATAAAATCTGGATTTGATCATAATTATTTCTTCTGTTCTCTGCAGGCAATATGCCCTAAAGATGAAGAAACTGTTTTCACTTCGCTATGATCCTTTGACATGCAGTGTTGAAGTATTAGACTCTATCCAAAAAGTTCAGACAGCACTGAGCCAAATCAAAGATGAACTGAACACTCTGTGCTCTGCTCTGGACAAAATGCACAAGGTCTAAACAAAACGTAGATTTCACAGAAGTCAATATCAAGAAACATGCATATGCTAGAATAAATAAAAATATAACTTAATGCTTGCACTTATTGAAGGTATACTGTATTTCTGAAACTTTCAGCCTTGTTCTGCCCTTTGTGGCAATGCTCAGCTCACAGGAAGTGACAAGAACACAGCATTTCTGGCAAGATCAACAGGTATTTTCTATACAAGCTGAAAAAGGTCTTAAAGCGGGGTTCAACTCGACCTATCAAAAAATAAAAGTCAGCAGCTACAAAAACTGTAGCTGCTGACTTTTAAAAAACAGCCACTTACCTGTCCCTCGGTCCAGTGGTATGTCCCCCACAGCTCGTTTCACCAGCCGTCCTAGATTCCAGGAGGCCGGCATCTTCAGTGTGGGCACCCAGCTGTGATAGTTTGCAGCTTCACAGCGCATGCGCAAGTAGCGCTGCGCTTCATGAATAGTGCTGTAGTCTTCTGGGATCTGTCATGTGTCCCAAAAGACTACAGGGAGGCAGGGAGGGAGGACACCTTCCTCCTAAGCGAGCAGACCGGAAGTAGGAGTGGGTACCTGTCAAATTCAGGTACCCGCTCCCCAAAAGTGCCAATCCTTAATGGGGAGTGGGGGAGCAGTCCTTAAATTGGAACTTCCCCTTTTTGGTGGAGCTCCGCTTTAAAAAAGGAAATGGATTCAGTTATGACATCTAAGTACTGGAAAGCTGCAATATATTACATTTTTGCATATGGGTTTAGATTCACTTTAAATGCAGGATGGTGGCACCTCTTTATTAAGGCTGGAAGAAAGAAAAACAGAAACAAAAGTAGTTTTTGACCATAAAGGCCGTCTTTTCATTTTCAGCATAAAGAATAAAGGAATCTGGTTACTGTGGCAACAGATGCTCACTTTGTCCTCATTCAATGTGCTCCAGTTTTTTAGCTAACCCTGTTGTTTTAAAAGGAGGAATCCTAAAAATAGCTAAAATAAACTTTTTACAATTTAACTTTATAATCAGTTACTATACAAAGCATTCACCCCTTTGAATAGAATGTTATTGTGATAGAACATTGTATCCAGGTAGTAAATTGACATATCCAGTCAGGAAATATTGTTTTCCTCTAACACCTAAGTGGCCAAAAATGTATTTGGTCTGGATTCCCAGAGCAGTCTTACCAAATCAGACCTTGGGGGACATCACGAATTGGTAACATAGTCTGAGATCCCCAAGGGCTAAACTTTGTGATTTATGAACTATGTTTTGAAAATTATTGAAACTGCCAGTCTGCATGTTATTATAAAGATTTTAAAGTTACTTATAAGGATGTTTAAGAATTATTTCTATATTACATACAAATTAATACCACCACATTGGTTAAAGTGTATGTAAACCCTCATGATGGTTTCCTTTTAGTCTGTTAAATTTGTGTTTTTTTTAATATCTGTTTGATACATATGAAAAAATATCTGTTGAGGCGTTGTTAGAATTTGTTTAGAAATTTAGTAAAAGCCACTGGGCAGGGCTTACACCACTCGGTCAACAACAATGCTGTGTGTTGTTAGCTCAAAACAGGGTTTAGGAGCTGAGCGCATTTCTGGCAGATCAATAGATATTTTTTGCATTTTTTTGCTTTTTTTTTAAATGGATATAAAAATTAAACATGAATGTATTGCAGAGGTGTACTGCAAATTATGTTTGTTTTGTTTTTCCTTGGCATATGCTTTAAAGGATAAGTTCATCTTCCGTAGCATGTTACATGTTACTCCCATATTCAGGGTGTAACATGTAGCATGTTACGAATGGACCGGCTCCCCTTTGTGACAACTAGCAGGGGATCTTCTCTTCACCACTAGCTGTCACAATTTAAAAAAAACACACAGCCATATGGAGTTCCGACCACCTGACCATGTCATTCATTCACAGCGTTCTGTGAATGAATGAACTACAAAGTCCCGACAGCCTTTGTGGCTGTCGGCTTAGAGTTCTCAGCGAACTACCACGGCACTGTGGAGCAGCTTGGTAGTTCATTGCCTCTTCCTGTCAGTATATCTGCTTGCCCGTACATCCCGTATGGGCAAGCAAATATACTGACAGGTCTGCAGGAAAACTGCATGGCACAAGTGATCTGCTGATCGCTGGTGCAATGATTTAGAGGCTTCAGAAACAAAAAATAAATACACATTTTTTTACCTGCAAAAAAACGTGCATTTATTATTTTTTGGAAAAAAGTGAACTTATCCTTTAAGTAATTCCTGGCCAGCAAAGCTGCTTCCGGTTCAAATAAAAGAGGATGATTTTGTATTATTACTTCTCAATTCCACTCAGTAAAATAAATTGCAGAAGTGTGACAAAATAAGGAATTATTGGTACATTTATATGCTGTAAAAACACACTGGAATGCGTCAAAAACTAATCAAAAACAAGAGTGCAAAAACACGCACGCAAAAAATGCATCCGGAACGCATCTTGACTGCATTTCTATAGTGTGAACCGTCCCTAAATGTCCTCCACTAACTGAAGCCTGATGATGCTTTGACTGCAGGATTCAATCCCGGCTATAGCTAAAATATTTTTTTCTCATTCAATATTTTGCATTGGAAATTTCCATTTAGTTGTATTTCAGTTTCAACAATAAAATAGTAATGTCTTCAAGATACAGTCAATAAATACGACATATCATTATCACTGACATGGTCTGTTATTCATACATTGCAGGTACTAGATGTAAAATAAACAAAACATTTTATATAAGTGCTATCATCCATTCTTCCATGTT